GTGCAGAGGCGCTGGGAACCAGGGGGCGGCCCCACGGCTGGAGGCCGATGGCTCTCCCTCCTGGGGCAGGCCCCCCCCTGTCGGTGCCCCTGGCATGGGTCCGGAGACCTGCGCGCGGGGACCTCCCGGATGCCCCACGTGGGCCAGGAGCTGATTGGGGTCGTCAGAGGACCGCTCGGCATCGCACCTGAGCTGCGGCGATGTCTCGGCGACGTTGGGATGGAGATGGAGAGACGCGAGCTCTGGATCGCGCCACGGCGCCGATGCATCGGCCATGCGGCGCGATTATCTGACCTCGTCTTCTCCGAACCCATTCCGTGAGATCCGACGCGACGAAAGAAATTCGCAACATCGTGGAAATCCACGACTGGCGCCTTCGAGGGAAATCTTTTCTTCTGCGTCGTTTCTCGAGCTGGATCGACCTGTGAGGGCCCCAGGACTCCGACGTCGTGGACTTTTTACGTGAAGCCCTGGAAGAATCGACCATTTATCGAATGTAGTTTTTTGATAATCCCAGCGGCCCCTGGAGGCCGAACGCTGCCAAACAACTTCTCGTTGATTTTGTTCTCGCCGAGAAGAGTTGGGCCTGAGCCCAGCGGCGTTAGAAATGCTACGACGCCCGGGTATCGGGGACTTGGAACGGTCCAGAGCACCGCAAGGCAGCCCCCGCGTGGCAGGCGCGCAGTATCTCCGGCGACGCGAGCTGGAAATTGGACACCACCTGCTCGGGGCGGAAGAATGAGGGGGCGTAGCGTGGTTTTCAAAAACGCCCATTTCTGGACCTAGCCACCGACCCCAATTTGGAGCGCAAGTCGTTTCGGAACAAAAAACGCCCACTTTTGCAAGAAGCGGACTGCGCGAGAATCTGAACACTGCATTCGGAGGCGCCAGGGGTGGCGCCGACTCCGACTTGCATTCGGACTGCGCTCGATGCCTGTTTCCGCAATGGCCATGCAAATGTACAAAAAGAAATTCAACCAGGCATGGGAAAGTTACGGTAGAGGTAAACAATCAGTGAAACCCCCCCTGCCCCCCAAACTCAAAGTTGGCACGCGACGCGCGGGGGAGACTGCGGTCGAGGTGCAACTCATCAAACCCACCGCCAACTTTGAACATTGGGGGGAGGGGGAGGCGTTGACAGATGAATGTGGGATGAATGTTCGCTATTGATTCCGAGGCCTAGCTCACCCTCCTGCCCGCCGGGGCCCTCGCCACCCACTGCTGGGAACGCCCGCAAGGGCAGGAGAGGAGCTGACTGCCCGGAAAATCTTCCAGCCAAGCGGCGCCCTGATTGGTGAGCGAAAGGGCGGGCAGGGCGGCCGAGCCAAGATGCTACAGGACCACTTCTTCCCAGAAGCGGCCACTGACCCCCGTCGCTCCGTCCATACTCGTGGGGGGCATGGCACATGGACTGCGCTCGATGCCTTTTTCCGCAGTGGCCAGGGGTCTCTGTAAAAGGGAGCTCAACTGAACATGGGAGAGCTAGCTCACCCTGCCACCCGCCAGGGCCCTCGCCACCAACTGCCGGGAGCGCCCACCCACAGGGGCAGGAAGGGAACTAACTGTCCAGAAAAATCTTCCACACCCCCCGAACCTGGATGCCCAAACTTGGCAGCCATCTGCAACAATCTCCGTTGCGGAGGCGTGAGCCGGAGATCCGACAAGGCTGCCAAGCGTTCGGTTATGTACACGCGGGCCGTGCGTGAATGTAACATTCGGCCGCGCACAATTGTGCGGTCGAGGCGGCCATAGTGGTGAGCAAAGTCGTAAATTGCACCACCGCGCCGGAAGGAATGCACTCCATAATCGTGTTCGTCCAGCTGCAGTCCCAATCCCCACCATGTTTCCCAGAAAATCTGCCGCTGCAGCGGCCCTGACAAGCTGCGCACTTAATTGTCCAAGTGGCACAAGACGGACGGCTCGCTGCAAATGCGCGCCCACGATACTGTCAGAAATTGCGGCCGACTCCTCGGCGCCACGTCGAGCCCTGGGTTTGGTGAGCCTTCAAGCGAGCACGGCGCACATGGGGCCCTTGCCCAAAAACAATGTCGCCAGCTCGCAGGGCGCACATCCCACTGGAGCGGAGGCAACAGTGGAAGCCGACAAGCCAGAACACGCCTAAAAGGTAGCTCCCTCTGGGCGGCTGCGTCGCAGGCGGGGTCCAAAACAATGTTTTTGCTGAGAGGGGGGGCCCTGGCCTGGAGTTCACTCCTGGCCCGCGCCCCAGGAGCCGCCAGCCACTTCTCATAGCCCTCCCGTATCGAGGCATGAAATGCTGCGCCCTGCAACAAAATCATTTGCATCGGTTCTGGGGCCACCTTCGGCCCGCAGTACCTCAATACAAGCCATGAGCTATTTGTCAAAATCGACCTCAGCACTCGGGTCATCAAACGCAGCCGATCGCCAAACTAAAAAAGATGTCACCGGTTGCCAGTGCTGGGCTGGGGCGGCTAGGGCCTCGGCTGCAACTGCCCAGTCTTGAAGCTTGCCGAGAGAGGCGCGCGAGGAGGCGCGCCCAGCCTTCCTCGCGGCCACGATGAGTTGCCTACGGCCTGCGGTGTTGGGGCGAAAAGTCTGCCGCAGCTTTGCCGGGAACGCTTCGGGGGGCCTCGTATCGGCTGCGCGGCTGGGACAACCTCCCAGAGGGGCACGGGAAGAGCCGTCGGCTGGGTTGGCCTCGCACGCAACGTAGCCGGATAATGGCCCAAGTAAGGCAGCTAAACAAGAAGCATCAGGACGTCGCTACGGGTGATTCAAGCGCCGCGAAAATGACCGCCCTTTGGCGCAGACTGAGAGAGCGACATGGGTGTCCACCAAAATGGCGAGCCCGCCCCTTGGTCAAATCGCCCCGCGACAAAACCAATTTACAACCGTCAAGACATTTGCCGACCCGGGCTCATTTATGCGGCGGCCCTGCCAGCGCCAAGAACGGCTCAGGACGGTCTGCCAATTGCCATCGCTTGACGTCTATCGGTGCCCGCGGCCGCGCGCGCAGGCGGAGCGGCAAACCTAAGTCCAGCCGCGCATCGCTCTTGCCGTGGTCGGCTCGCCGCTAAAGGCCGTGGACCATGCGATTTTTCCGTGGCAGTAACTCCGAGGCTGAGCCGCTCTCTGGCTCGGCGCGGCTGGCTTCCGTCCGGGCCGCCACCATCCTACGGCACGAGCGATGCCCCGGCGCCCGCGCCGCCGAGTCGGCCGCCGATGCCCGGAGTCGAAGCGCCACCGGCCGGCGGCCAGCCAGACCGCCTTCCAGTCGGGCCGCGAGAGCGCCCAGCACGTGAGGGCGAGGTGCAAAATGAGTTTCTCGACCGTGGGGCTCGCGCACCCGCGCCGCCCGCCCGCGGCCGAAGCCGTCGATGGTGCCAGGAAAGACCGCTCGACGGTGCCATTCCCGCTCCGCCGAATGCCCCGCCGGGCAAGGGCACCCCAAAAGGCAACCTGCTCAACGATGAAAATCCCGCGGAGGTCCCCCGCCTCGCCGCGCGCCATCCACGTCGGCGACGTCGACGTCGTCGACGCAGACCTTCCGCCACTTCCGCGGCGAAGCGCTGGGGCCGCAGAGGCAATCGGGCATCGCGCCAGAGTTCCATCGACTCATCGAGGTCGGCGTTGGCCAGCACGCGGCCCGCGACAATGCGCCGCGCGAGGCGCTGCGCGACGCCGACGGAGGACGGCGGCCCCATCGGCGCAGCCGCCGACGCCAGACTATGGGCCCGGTTGCTTGGAGGCGGTAAAGTCACACTATTATTTTGAACTTTTCTAGAAAGGAAGCAACCCTTCTAGCAACATGTATTTTATCTGTTGCGCGATAACCGCGGCGGCGCGTCCGAATTGCCGAGCCGCGCCCTGCGCTCGCGCCCTGAATCTTCTGTCAAGGAGCATCTACATCTCGCTGGAAACATGTCCAAGGGTCGCCGCGAACCGATTTAGCGCGACCCTGATTACTCGAGAAAATGCATCGCGGGGTGAACCCGCAGGAAAAACAAAGGCCCCGCGTCCCCCGACCAGGCCCTAATCCCCAATAGGCAGACCGCGGACTTTACCAAAGCGAGGAAACGGCTATACTAAAGCGCGGAAGCGGCTTTACGAAAGCGAGGAAGCGGCTTTACTAAAGCGAGGAAGCGGCTTTAGCAAAAGGCGCGCCGCTCGATGCACCCCGAGAATAACAGCTTTTCCCCAGAGCGAAAAGTGGGCCTTGGTAAAGCGGGGGGACGGTCGGGGCAAATTGCGCGCGGAAGTCTCGCTCCTCCAAGAAAGTCTGACCCGGGGCTCCAGGGGCGAGGGCGGGGCGCAAGTTCGCCCGTGGTCCCTGGCCCCGTCGCCGCCGTCGCCGCGATGCTCGTCGTCGTCGCCGTCGCCGTTGCCGCCGTCGTCGCCGCCGTCGTCGTCGCCGTCGCCGTCGTCGTCGCCGCGACGCCCGCGCAATCGCGTTAATTATTGCCGGCGGCGCGTCGCGCGCAACCGCGCGCGCCGCTGCGCTCGCGTCCCCGCTTGCCCGACGGGGGCTCAGGCGGACGTCGTGAATTTGTTGCGACAACTCGTTCCCCAATCAGAGCTTGCCTCTGTTGGGGTCCTAGTGGACTCATATGGTTAAGTTAGGTTTGTCGCCGATTTTCGCTGCGCGCCCGGGTGCCCGGGTGCCCGGGGGTGTCCGGGGCCCGGGTGCCCGGGGGCCGGGGTGCCCAGGGGTGCCCGGGTGCCCGGGTGCCCGGGCGCGCGGGCGTGCCCGGGCGGCGTGCCCCGGGGTGCCCTATAGCCCTATAGCCCTAAGCCGTATAGCCCTATAACCCAATAGCCCTATATAGCTCTATAGCCCTATAGCTCAATAGCACAATAGTCTCCTAGCCTTATAGCCCTGATGGGGATTTTCCCGGGTATCATTTACAATGCAAGTGGGGGAACAAATGTCTGAGTTGCCCTTCCGAGGGCCGTCGGGGCAACGGGGCGCGAGGGCGCCATCCAAGGCCGCCAACGTGCGAATCATGAAAAACATGAACGCGTCATTCGATGTCCCCACTTGACCGAGCGAGCAGCTCTCCGTCCTCAACGACGGCGACGCGGTGCTCTCCGCCCATCGGCAGGGGCTCGATGTCACCGAGCATCGGCACCTGGGCGCGGTCGCTCGGGGCCATGTTGACGATGGGTCGAAGGGCCCGCGTGGCTGGCGGCAGAAACGCGCCGCTTCGCGGCCCCGAAGGCGCCGTTCAGGACGGGTTGCCACCCGACCCTTGCGATGGCGTCGCACGGGATATCCTTCCAGAGCCCGCGCCCCAGCCAACTCCTTGACGACGGCGCCCCCGCCGGCTGCCTCGGCGCGCGCGTCGGCAGTGGCTGGGGCCCGCGCTGGCCGCCCACGCTGTGCGCGAGGCAGCGCGCGAACGATCTCCTCCGACGCAAACTCAAGAGGGCCCGCTGAGGCGGCCTCGCCGCGCGGCGGCAAGCCCGGGAGGAGCTCCCGCAGCACGAGCTTCTCTGGCATCGAGACCACGCGGCCATCGTAAGAGAGCAATTTCTCACTTCTCGCCGAGCACCTAGTCGAACTCGGTCGTCGGCGACCGACCCGAAGCCCCATGTCGCATCGGCGCGGCGGTCGACGTTGTAAATGTACGCCTCCTCCATCTCCTCAAGGGCCAAGGCCCGCGACTGGCTGGCCGGCCCGGCGAGTCGGCGCAGGTCCACGGGCTCGCCCGCCCCTGCGCGCAGGGAGTCATGGGCCGAGATAGCGATGATGGCCCAGCTGCCGACGCCTGCAAGTCGAGTTCGCTCAGATCGTCCCTGATGCCAACTGGATGAGAGCGACCGCCCCCCCCCACCCTTGCGAAGGCCATCTCAACGGCGTCGCCCCCCCGCGGGACAGGGGGGATGACGGACGTCAGTTTCGCTGTCGCTTGCCTCCCCGCCATAAATGGCCGGCGAGCCGCCGCCTCGCGCGCCCGCCGCAGGGGGAACTACGCTGCCGGGCAGCCTGGGAGATGCGCCTGTCCAGCTAGCCCATCGTCTCGTCGATCGGCGCCGCGGCTGCGAGCTCGTCGAGCCCTCCCATCAGCGGCGCCGCGGCCGTGGCAGGGGGGGGCGCGTCCTCGGCGTTCCCCTCTCTCGGCCTGCGCCTGGCGCCTGCGTCGCGCGCCCCTGGCCCCCGCGACTACTGCGCTGCCGCGGCGCGGGTTGCCGGGCCACCAGGGGCCGATCGGACGGGGCCCAGCTCAGAATTGCGGATCTGTTCGCCAGGGAGGTCGGCCCCAGCGGCGCGGGGCACGCCGAGAGCGCGGGCGCAACTCCGGGAGCGTTCGGAAAGACTCGCCCGCGACCTCGGCTCGCGAGCCGCCAAGACCGTCTCCGCCAAGTGTCAATTCTGACCCCTGTTGGGGGGCCCGTGCGACCCAGCGCCGTTCCTCTTTCCCTATCCACACCCTGTCGCGCCTGCTCCTGCTCCTGCTCTGGCGCCCTCCTGGGGGCCGTCCTCTCGGAGAGCAAGGCTCGCGCAGCGGGGGCGGCCCATGGGCGCGCCCGGGCCGTCGGCCAACGGCGGACTGGCTTGCCCGCGGCCGGGCCCTCGTGGCGGCATCCGCGAGCTTGACACTGCCCAGCTCCGCGCGCGTGGCGGTCGCCCGCTCCCGCCCGCTGGCCAGCCCCGCGTCGGCGCTGGGAATGAGCCCCCGGCATCCAGCCAGTCGCTGACTGCCGCCTCCAAAGCCTTGAACCGCCGCGCCAGCGCGTCTTCCAGTCGCGGGACGTCCCCGCCCAGGAGCGCGTCCAAGCATTCGCTGATCGCGCGGAGCTCCCGCGCGTCGCGGATGCCGAGCGTCTCCGGGCCGCAACGTTGGAATGAAACGCTGATGAGGTACTGCGTGATCTTGCCGCGCTGCTGCTCGCTGTTCTCCGCTGCGGACGCCGCCCCGTGCCGGGCACCGCTGCATTTCCTGCAAGGCCCTCTGGGGCAGCGCACCGAGGCACCCGCGCGCAACGACTGCAAGGTCGACGTGCGCCTTGGGAGGGGCTGACGGAAAATCCACATCCTCATCGCCCTTGTTCGCAAGGCCTTCTGGAGCAACTTGTCCAAGTCGTCCTCCCTCACCGCGTCCTTGGGCAACGTCGCGCCGCTGGCATGCTGGTCAGCGGAGCGTTTACACGGGGGGCCCTCTGCGAATCTCCTCTTGACCTTCTGGGTCTCGCCGCGGCGGCTCCGAGACCGAAGATCCTCGCTCCGTGCCGCCCTCCGGTCGAGATCGCCAATGAGATTGTCGAGCCTTCCCTTGAGTTCCTCTCGTCCGGCGCCCAAGCTCCCAGGAGGAGGGGCGCCCATCTCGGCGCGGCCTGGCTCGTCGAGCAGGGGGCCCCGCCATGCTGGTTCGCCAGCCCCGCGCCCCGTGCAGGGTTAGCTTCACGCGCCCCCCCGAGCATCTGGGCTTGGGACGCGGGGCTCACACTCGTGCACAAAGATCCCGAACCCATCGGAGAGGCTGATGCTGAAACAATCCTTGCCGTTGTTGTTGTCGTCCCGGTGCCGCCACTCTCCGATGGTAGACCTGCCTGGAGCCCCATTTCTCTGCATGGGCCTACCTCCGGCATGTCACAACAGCAGGAATTCACGCACCCTGAATCTCCGTCTTGCTGAATTCCCTGGTGAGCACCTTGCTGAAACTCTCCTTGAACGTCCCCAGCAAGTAACCCTCCCAGAGAAGCCGTACTCGTCGGGTGGCGGTGCCCGAGGCAGACTTCCAAGAGGCTTCAGAGACAGAGCGAATGGGCCCGTCTCCTGGCCTTTTCCACTCCGAAGCGACCCGCCCCAAGCGCAAACCTCGATGACGTCGTCGGTGCCGCTTTGTATCGGGTGGTCGTAGTCTTCGGCGTCGGCAAGCGCGAACCTCGATGATTTCGTCGGGGCCGTACTCTTTGAGGTGGTCTGTAGTCCTCGGCGCCAGGCTCCTTGCAAGGAGCCCGCCGGGGCCCTCCCGGCCGCAGCCGTGCGGGGCGGGTCCGGCGGGGCGCGCCCCTCCGGCGGCGCCCGCGCGGGCAGGCCCCAGCCGGGGGGGGGGGCGCCCCGCCTTGGGGACGCCCGACCGCCTGCGGGCCCGCGGCCGCGCGCGGAGGCTCCCGCGGGCGGGGCAGCCCGTGCGGGGGACGGCCGACCGCCTGCCCTCCCACGGCCGCGCCGCGGGCCCGCAGCCGCGGGCCGGCCGGGAGACACTGCGGCGTCCGCCACCGCCCTTCGGCGGCATCGTATACCATCGTATGCAACCGGGGGCACGCAAGCATGGATTAGCGATCCATTGATTCGGCGCGCGGTCGCCAAATCCATGGATCGGGGGAGGTGCCCTGCCCATAATGCGGCCGGTGTCGCCTCGTTCGGCTGCGGAAATCCGCAATGTCCCATGGAAACCGGACCCGTCGCTAATCCACGCCCCCTTGATCCATGTTTGCGATCGCCTGGCGTATGCAGGGAGGGGGTCCCCTATGCCCCAGTCCCAACGAGAAACGAACATGTGGATAAGACTGCGCTCGCGCGCCAAACTCCCCTATAGGGGGAGGAACCAGCTCGAGCCAAGAGAATACAAGACCACTTCTTCCCAGAAGCGGCCACTGCCTTCCCTCCCCTCGCTCCGTCCATACTAACACGGGGGCATGGCGCAGATTGGATGATGTTTTTTTGTCGAAAACGTCTGTAGCACAGTGGATGGGGGGGGGGGGGGGCAAACATCCAACGCCTTGGAAAAGTGAGGACGTGTTTGTTCTCGCCATCATCAGTCTCTGGGCGCCTCTTCGAGGCCCCAGGAAAACAGCAAGACTGCCCAGGATGAGAGGCTGGAAGAGGGCCTGGACCTGCGGGGATCCCGTCTTGAGAAGACCGAGGCACAAGACGTCTGGCGTCGGGAGCCCGCCGCATGCAGTCACTCACCCCAGCGCCTCCCGGCGCAGAGCGGCGGAGCTGCAACCAACCGCACGCGGCAGCTGCCGTGTCCCCCCCCCCCCGCACGTGTGCCAATGCCCCCGTTCGCCCGACCCCCACCTTCGAGACCCGGAGGTTCTGCCTCCGTGGCTGGCTGCTGTCCGTGGAGCCCCTTCTTTGGGAGGGCGCCGACAAATACACCAACTCCAGAGGATCCCAAACCGACCTCACGGGCCCCGGACCCGCGCGTACGATCTCCTGGAATGGCCAAGAGAGGAGCGCGCACGCGCACGCCATTCCCGCCTTTGGGGCCCAGGATCGGCCCGGCAAGGGTCGGCGTCGGTGTATCAACCACCCAAGCCTCCGACGGATTGACTCTCGTCGGTCCGCGGACCCCCGAGCTCTCGACCGTCCCGGCTCCACTTCTCCTGGTCCCAGCGGCCCACTGATGCCGAAGACAAAATCAAACGCCGGGACTGGAGAAACCAATCCACCGGGGCATGGGCACGGTGGGCGCCCTCCGACCTCTCCGATACGGAAGCCTTGGACTCGACGCTGACGCGCTGAGCGACAGGAGTCCTTTCGGGGCTGGAGTCTAGAAAGTATCCATCGCCTCCAGAACCGAGGGATGCATGACCTCTCTCTAGGAGGCCTCCCAAAGCGGGTCCCAGTTGATGAGGTCGGAGGATCGCACCACATCGCCAATGCATGGCCGATGCATCGGCGATGCAACGGCGACGTTGGCGATGCATCGGCGCCGTCGGCGTGGAGAGATTGGGCTCCGCATCGAGCCGCATCGCCGACACAGCGGCGACGCGGCGCGACGCGGCGCGATCCTCACACCTCGTCTGCTGGGACCACAGCTGGGCGGCCTCGACTCTCCTCCCACCCCCACGCCCCAACCTGGCCATGCCCACTGCCCCCAAGGGCCCTGGGTTTCAGACCACTTCCCCGAGGCGGCAGGAGTAGCCAATGTCGAATCGCGAGATTGGGTCGGAGCGGAATCCGCCACCGCGCCCTCTTCCCGGCACACTGAGGCGTGGCAGAGTGACCAGTGCTGCCTGATAGGGTGCCTGCAAATCTTCCAGGGAGCCACCCCCTTGTCATCACGCTCGGGGCGTGCATACCCCCCCTCCTCCCACGAGTTCACAGGCGCCCCGATGCTTCCCTGGCGCTCTCCAAGACGTGCACGATGTCTGAGATGACTTCCAAGACGGCCCTGGCAGGCCACTAAGGCCGCCAAGATGGCCAGATATGCATCTAAGACAATCCGAGATCGCCCCACGACGGCTCAAGATTGCGTCAAGACAGCCTAACAAGCACCCGAGACGGTCCAAGAGGGCTCCTAGCAGGGCCCGAAGAGGTTTGAAGAATTGTTTCCCCGTTAAAACTTGATCAATTTTCGCGTTCTCACCTTCTCGGGCTTCCGTCAGCCCAAGACGGCCAACGAGACCTCCAAGATTGCCCCAAGGGGTTCCCAAGACGGCCCAAGGTGCTCTCAGGACTGCCCAAGAGGCCTCGAAAACGGCCCACGGAGGCGCCAGGACGCGAAGACGGCCCAACAAGGTGACCCAGAGAGGCCCCAAAAACAAACTCCGAAATGCTCCGACAGCACCTGAGAGACTGCCCAAGGAGTCCCCAGGAGAAGAAGCTCTAAGAGAGGAGGGAAGAAGACGACGACGAACACAAGGAGAGACACCCGGACACCATGCGGAAGAGTGTGCAACATATCACGCCACTCCAGAGCCTCGGGACACGAGCTGTCTCACGCCGGGGCTTCCTGTGCGCTGAACTGTCGCCACCCAGAGTGCGGGGCTGGCACGGCAGCCAGCCTTGCCGCAGGCACCTGGATGTGCATCGACTCCGGAAGAACAGAGATGGAGTCGAAATCCAATCGAATCGACCGCGCCAACAGCGCCGTGCGAACAGCGGGCCACACCAGATCGCCGGAACACCGAAGCCGAGCCAGCTCGAGCTGGGCAAGGCCAACGCTGGCCCAGATCGACCGAGTCCCTGAGGTCCGACGTTGCGACAAAATCGGAACATCGCGGGCAATCCCGAACCAAGCCTGGACCCCCTCTCTCTGGGGCATTCGTCGAGCCAGATCGGTCCGTGCTGGTCTCGGGGCCCGACAACGAGCGAAAACGCCCGGCGTGGAAAGATGCGATTGCAGAGCCCAGGTCTTAGGGAAAAAGTCGCGGTGCGCACCTCCGAAAGGCTGTGCCTCTGCCACTCTCTCTGCCCCTCTCTCTCTCTCGCTTTGGGGTTCCTCAGCCTTCCGAGTAGCTGTCTACGTGCCTTCTCCAAACACAGATTCGGCTCCTCAGAAGGCGCGAGGGCTTCTGAGAAGCCCCATGTCTATGCGCCTCCTCCAAACACAGATTCGGTTCCTCAGAAGGCGCGAGGGCTTCTGAGAAGCCCCACCGCCTTCTGAGAAGGCCCGCCACCTCACACTCCCCAGATCTCACGGATCGTAGTGGACCCAGGCGGGGGAGTCCTGTCCGCGGCAAGCCGCGCGCCCGACGGGAACTCCGCGGTGTCCTCGCCCTCGCGCTCGGCGGCGGCGGACCCGCCAGCAGCGTCCCCGTCTGGCTCCTCTCGGCGTTAGTTACATCGATGGGGGCCCATAGAGGGACGGTTGATGGACGCACTCCCGAACCTTTGGTGTTGACTTGTGCAAGCACCCCCCGCGCCCCCAGTGTGATCCTGGCGGGCTGCACCGCGATTTGTCGATCTGCCGACTGGTCGAAACCTTGCGCCCCGCTGGCAGTGCCAACCAACATTGAATCGTGGGCAGGGGGGCGCGGGAAGTTTGCGCAGGCACCCTGGTCGCGCGGGTGGTGCAGGATTTTGTCCATCAATCCGCTGGCGGCCCGAAGGTAGCGTCGAGGGATCCCAGGTGGAACCTTCACTGCTTGAGGCCGCTCGTCTTCCCCAGACATGAAGCGTCCTGACTCTTCCATACGCGGCCCCCTGGACGTCCCGACCCTTTCCCCGGGGCCGGTTTTCATCCCGAGTCGTTTCTTGACGGCGGTCCCGAGGCCCAGCGAGGGCCCCCACAAGCCGAAAAAGGTCAAAAACCTCCCGTCGCATTTTTTCCTCAGCGCGAACTTGTCTGGGTCCTCAAGGGGCCCAATCTTTGAGCCGCCAGCTCCTCGCGACCTAGCTTACGCGCCAAGGTCCGTGGAAATGACCCCGTTTCCTGCGTCGCTCAACTCGTCCTCCTTGGCCTTACTGCCCCCTTCATCCGGGCCCAGGGCCCGGGGCTGGATCTCGCGCCCGGTCCACATCCGCCACCAATCTGTCCCGTCCCTCAGGGCCCCGTCCCTGCGGGCCTCGGCCCTCATGGCCCCTGACGGATGAGGCCCTGAGGACGGGAGAAGGATCCCAAGCGGCACGTCCACTGTCCGAGGCCACTCGTCCTCTGGGCCCCCGTCCCTCGGGGCCCCACCTCTGAGCCGCCCTCCTCCCCGCGGTGCGAATTCCAGGCGCACCACGTGGAGGAGGGAGCGCTTACGACCCCTAGGGAAACCAAAAGGTACCGATACCCGATACCTTACTCCCCAGACCTCTCCTTCGGTGCGTGGCCAGGATTTCGAGGCGAATGCGGCGGTGGCGACGAGGGCCCCCCAGGAGGCCCACATGGGAGAACGGGCGAAAGGCAGCGGTAGCGGAACTTTCTCCTCCTCTGGGCCCCGTCTTCCTGCGTCGCTCCACTCGCCCTCCGGGCCCCCGTCCCTCGAGGACCCACCTCTGAGCCGCTCGGCTCCTCGTGGTGCCGCTTCTGGGCGCCGGGCGGGCTGGCGCCCAGCGGCGGGGCCAGGGCCGGCGGGGGGGGTATCCTGGGCGTGAGCTCGGCCACGGGCAGCGTGCCGCCGAGCGGCTCCTCCGGAGCCCCAATACCCTCAGAATGATACCGGAGAGCAGCCCCAATCATAATCTTTTTGGGGCTATGGGGCTATGGGGCTACAGGGCAATGGGGCTGTAGTGCTATAGGGCTAGAGGGCTGTTGGGCTGTTGGGCTATAGGGCACCCGGGCACCTGGGCGGGCCGCCAAAATCGGCGACGCAACTAACCTAACCATATGAATCCGCTAGGACCCCTACAGAGGCAAGCTCTGGTTGGGGAATCAGCACCCCCGCAGGTGAAGCCGCTCAGTAAGCGCACAGCCAGAGAAGGAATCGGAGCGGGCAGGACTGCTTGGGAAAAACGCTCAGGGACGTTTCTCGGAAACGACAATGATGAGGGCCGAGGTGATTCAAGCCTTGGAACAAAATAGCGAACACTCATGCCGCGTTCATCTGTCAACGCCTCCCCCTCGTTCCCCTCTGCCGCTTCCCCCCCTTGCCAGAAGTGCCTGTGGCCCAAGCTGCCCCCAGGACTTCCGAGGAGGCCCCCCGTGGCCTCCCGGGCATCCCTCACGAGGCCCAGAGGGCCCACGGGCTCCGAGGTGGAGCGAGCGGCTGGGGGCAGCTTCTCAGCAGCCCCCCGGCCAGAAAGCCAGAGAGGACGTCGGCGGCGAGCCCATGGGGGAAGTGGGAGAGGGCGGGCCTTCTGGAAAGGCGGCGGGGCTGCTCAGAGGCCCTCGCGCTCGCGCCTTCTGAGGGAGCCGTCTCTGTCTTCGGAGAAGGCACATCGAGGGCTGCTCGGAAGGCTGAGGAACCCCAAAGCGAGAGAGAGAGAGAGAGAGAGAGAGAGCGGCAACGGCACAGGCTTTCGGAGGTCCGCGCCGCGACCTCTTCCCGGAGACCCGGGCGTCGCAATCTTGCGGCACAGGGCGTTTTGCGCCAAGTGGCGGCCCCCGGGACCATCACAGCACAGGTCGGTGCGGCTCGACACATGCCGCAGAAAGAGGGGGTTCAGGCCTGATTCGGGATTGCCCGCGATGCTCCAATTTTGTCGCAACGTCGGACCTCAGGGATTCGGTCGATCTGGGCCGGCGTTGGCCTTGCCCAGCTCGAGCTGGGCTGGCGTTGACCATCACAGCACAGGTCGACGCGGCTCGACACATGCCGCAGAAAGAGGGGGTCTGGGGCTCGCGTCAGGATGTCTCGCGATGCTGCAATCTGTTTTCGCAACGTCGGATCTCAGGGTTCGGGGTCGACGCTTGGCCACCCTCCCCCAGACAAGCGCGCTCCACCACTAGCGCAGCAAGTACTAGCAGTGGACCCGGATCCGCCGCGGGGGATTCAAGATCCATTGCATCGAAGCGAGCATTCGTAGAAGAAGTAAAAACGACACAAAAATAGACTTTTGGCGCTCCGCGCGGATGTCTTGGATCTGCGCTGACCCCCCTCCCTGGCGCGCGGAACGCGCCAAGGGCGGCGCTGGAGGCGCCGCCAGGGGGGCCCGGCGCGGATCCAAGAAATCCGCGTGGAGCGGCAGTGGAGCGCCGAAAATCCCACCAGCCCTTTAGGGCGTGAGTGGTTTAGCGAGCCCCCTCTGTCCTCAACCCCCCTTCTTCCCCTTCGGGGAGGGGTTTACCCCTCCCCCTACCCCCTCCCCCTGGGTCTGGAGAGGGCGGGCCGCGGGTGGTTGGAGGGGTCTTTTTCGACTCCTGGGAGGGCCAAAAAGCGACGACCCTCACGAGGATTCTGGCCCCGACGGGGGGACGCACTTGGGACCCTCTCCTCTTCTGTGAAGCCAAAATCCTTGCTTTTACGAGGGTTTTGGCCCCATTTTGGCCTCCCGAGGGGGCCGCGCTCATCTTCCTTCATAGCAAAATCATTGATTTTACGAAGGTTTTGGGCTCATTTTGTCCTTCTCAGGGGGCAGCGCTTCTTTGCGCTTCTGAGGAGGTCGCAAGAGGCCCCAAGATGGCCCCAAGAGGCCACCAGGAGCCTCCCAAGAGGCTTCCAAGAGGCCCCAAAGAGGCCCCCAAGAGGCCCCAAGAGGCCCCCAAGAGGCCCCCAAGAGGCCCCCAAGAGGCCCCCAGAGGCCCCAGGAGGCCCCCAAGAGGCCCCCAAGAGGCCCCCAAGAGGCCCCCAAGAGGCCCCAAGAGGCTCCAAGAGGCCCCCAAGAGGCCCCACGAGGAGCCCGAACGACTCACACCAGGACGAGGGGCCCGAACGACTCACACCACGAAGAGCCCGAACGACTCACACCACAAGGAGGGGCCCGAACGACTCACACCAGGACGAGGCGCCCGAACGACTCACACCACGAGGAGCCCGAACGACTCACACCACGACGCGGGCCCCGAACGACTCACACCACGAGGAGCCCGAACGAGTCACACCAGGAGGAGGGGCCCGAACGACTCACACCAGGATGAGGGGCCCGAACAACTCACACCACGAGAAGCCCGAACGACTCACACCAGGACGAAGAGCCCGAACGACTCACACCACGAAGAGCCCGAACGACTCACACCAGGAAGAAGGGCCCGAACGACTCACACCAGGACGAGAAACCCCAAACGACTCAAATCACGAGGAGCGCTTTCTCTCCCTCCTCCTCCGCCTCGTCCTTCTCCCGCTCCCCCCACAAGGAGGATGTACAAGGAGGCGGGAGGAAGGAGGAACAGGGGAGATATGCGGGGCCAAACGGACACACGCCTGAAAAACACGACTGTCGGCATGCTTCGCATGAGTTGCTGTTGTGACATGGGCTGGTGGGGATACGCGAAGCGTAAAGAATTTATGCTTATGCAGTTTGTTCTTCTTAGAATTAGCGAGAAATGAACCGCGCTCGGGGATCCCCGCGCCCTGTTCTCTGGCGCACGGAGCGCGCCGGGGCCGCCCGGAGGCGCCGCCAGGGGTGTGGGGGGGTATATAAGCGGGGTCCTGTGCTGGCCCAGGAGTTGCGCATAGACCTCCGAATCCAAAGCTATTGTGCTCGTTGGCAGCTACACATGAGCGACGATCAACAACAGGCCTTACGCGAGATGGCATAGCGACCTTACGGGGTGGCTTACCCGGACCGCCAGCGCGGCACGCTACATCGGAGAGGAAGGCGCTCATGCGCGAGCTTATGAGGGAAGCTTACGCACCAATGTCGTCGCTCACATGATCCCTATCCCCGCATGTCAGGATTCGGAACAAAAACTGCTGGGGCTCGGCATTTGAAGGATGCCTGCAGCCAGATGAACCCCAGCGGGGGTACCCGACACTCCCAGCGGCGATTGGACCCGTAGGGGTAGGTCGGGCGCGCGGTAACATGGATTGCGGATCCGTGGATCTGGCGGGTGGGCGCCAAATCCACGTCCAGAAGGAAAAAGTTGCCAGAAGCAAGTCTGCGAAGGCTGGAATCTAAAACATCCCGTGCGTGCCCCCTACCCCCCCTCACCCCCCACAGGAGCTACGCCCCATCCACGGAGCAAACGTGGTGGAACGTTTTCTGGCTGAGGATACTCGGCTTCTTGGGCTTCTCAACGGTCGAAGAGGGACTGGAGGGTCTCCAGATGGCCCAAGACAGCTCCAAGACGGCCCAAGATGGTCCCGAAGAGGCCCCCAAGACGGCCCAACAGGCCCTCAGGACCACCCAGGAGGGCTTCAAGAGGACCCCGAATAGAGCCTCCACAAGCAAATTTCAGCGCTCTCGCAGTCTCGCGCTTCGGACGGACACCCCCAAACAGCCCCAGAGGCCGCCAAGATGGCCCCAAGACGGCCCAAGAAGCCCCCAAGAGGGCCCCAGCACGGCCCAAGAGGGCCCCAAGGTGGCCCAAGAGACCCCCAAGACAGCACCCAGGCGGCCCAAACGGCCCCGAGACGGCCCAAGAGACCCCCTAACACAGCCCTTGGAGGCCCCGAGACGGCCCAGAGAGGCCCCCAAGACGGCCAGAAGGCGCCAGACGGCCCAAGAGCGCCCAAAGCCGGCCGAAGACGCCCCCAAGAACCCAACAAGCCCCCAAGCAACCCCAAGATGTCCCCAAGAGGCTCCAAGAGTCATCGAGAGCCCAAACGCACATTCTCTACAGTCACACCGGATAGTAAGGATGCGCGATAAGGATGCAAGGACCTTGGACGCCCATTTCGAAGCGTTTCGAGCGGGGCGCGGCCAAAGAAAGTGTCCAAGGATGGACCCAGGAGGCAAGGATGCAAGGGTACCCTTGGGAGGGATGCCTATCTTTACTATGCGGGTCGACTGTACCCATTCTGGACGTTCACCCCACAGAGCGAGAGGAATCCACGGATCGGGAAAGTATCCGCCGAAACATGAAGCCAGTGACACCTGATTTGGCGACGACGCGCGCCGATTCTGCACAGAAGCGGGACCCGCCACTTATCCACGCGCCTTATCCTGTCTTCGTCTCCTGGCGTATGTAGGCTTCGCAAGCGATCGCAGAGCTCGTGCAGGCTTTGCCGAGGGGGCGGGCCTTTTCAGAAGGCTCTAACGGCCTCGGGCCACCTGAGGAGCTTTCTAAGCCTTCTCAGACGACACAGACTGCTTCCCAGAAGGCGCGAGGGCTTCTGAGAAGCTCCGTCGCCTCCTGAGGAGGCCTGCCCCCTCTCACTTCCTGCCTTGGCTTGCCGCCGACGCTGTCCTTGCAGATGTCCAGGCGGACCTCTCCCGCCCAGGCCGGCGGCTGGCTCCGCGCGCTGAGCGGCGTCCGCGGCGAGCATGGCAGCGACGGCGGCGGCGACGGCGGGCTTAGCCGCGGGGGCGCAGACGGCGCTTCCGCGCCGCCCGAGAGCACCGGGCACCACAGCGCGCCCGCCGCGGCGGGGCTGGGCGGGGGCTGGGCGGGCGGCGGCGGAGGCGCCTGCGGGCCCTGCGCCGGCAGCCCGCGCCGGGCCGCCATCAGCGGCAGCGGGGCAGCCGGGCCGCCCGCCGGCCACGGGCCGGGCCGCCCCGCCGCCGCGCGGCGCAGCGGCGGGGGGGCCGGCACTGCGCCGCCGCGTCGCCGTAGGCGACCGCGAAGCGGCTTGCCGCGCACGGCGCGGGCCCGCCGCGGCCGCCGGCGCTGCCGGGCGGGCCCAGGGCGTCAGCCATCGCGGGTGGGCGCGCCGCCGCCGCCGGGGCCTCGGCAGCCTCGGGCCACGGCGGGCGGGCCCCGGCGGCCGGAGCGAGGCCAGCGAGAGGAGAAGAGCTCCCCGGGCGCTCTCCGTCCCGCTCCCTCCGCGCTCCCCGCCGGCCCCTGCTGGGGCGATCGCCGCGACGGGCCGCCGGCGCCCCTCCGCGAGGGGCGCCGCGCGGAGGCGCGCCGGGCTGGGGGACGCTGGAGGTCTTGCCACAGGGAGCCCTGCAAGCCGTTCGGGAGAGTGTGGGCGAGACGCGGTGAGGCAGGGGGCGGGAGGGAGGTGGAGTCGCGTCAGCCTTCTGGGCGTGTGCGGTTGAACGCTTCCTCTTCACACCCCCTCTTCCCCTTCGGGGGGAGTTCACCATTGCACACTAAACACGCCCTCCCCCACTCGACGGGCCGCCAACGAAGAACCAGAAGCCCCACCACCACGCCTGTGAAAATACAAAAAGACGTACGTGGCGGCAAAATCTGGATCATGAGCGGGCACTGCGCGACCACTATGCATGTTTTTGTGCAGGGAGGGCTGGGGGTGTAATCGTCATTGTCCGCTGTGCTCTGCCCCACAACCCCTGTCAAAAACACATCTGAACCCACCGCGGGTGCGCGCGCTGTACACCGTGCTGACCACCCTGCCCCCGTTTTGCATGGCTTTTGACAAGGATGGCGGTGGGGGGAGGTCGACATGCTACCCCCCCTGGTCACTTAGCGCACCTGGTGCCCGCGGCGCACCTGGCACGCGTCCTCGTGGACGTCACACCCCTGGCCTCTGCATTGGTTCGCGATGGCTGTTCAGAATGGCGACCTCTACTTGTGCTCGGTCTCTGGTGCTACTCTATGGTGTGAGGGCGGGAAGACGGCTTGTGGCGTAGACGTTGGGAACCTCCTCCTCCTCCTCCTGCTCCTCCTCCTCCTCCTCCACCTCATCTCACTTTTCCTCTCTCGGGGAATCCCCCCAGTTGCCACAAGGGCTGGGCGAACACATAGTCCAACAACCTGGCCAAGAGCCTCGGCTCAACGCTTGGCCACGCAAGCGCTTCCCAGAGGCAGGGGGGCGGCGGCGGTTCGCCGCATGCGTCGTCGACCACGGCAGCCGATGGCCGCGGCAGAGACATGGGCAGAACGTGTCTGCAACACCTCGCGCACTGGTCTCGGGCACACGCCAACATGGATTGCGGATCCGTGGACCTGGCGCGCGGGCGCCAGATCCACGGACCGGGGAAGGGAAAATCACCCCCCGAAACACGAAGACAATGCCGACTCCTTCAGCGGCGGATGGCGCCGATTCCGTCGTAACCGGGACCCGTCCCTGATCCACGCCCCTGTGGCGTCTCCTGGACTGTCCGTGGGGCGGCCCCGGCGCGCGGAGACGTGCACGTCCAAGACGAAGGGGCCAAGTCGAGCGGGAGGAACGCCACCAGCGCGGACTCGCAAGATGCGTTCTGCAAACCTCTGTGGTGTGGGGTTACACGAGACAGCATCATTTCATGAAGGGCAACGATGCGGGGGGACCGGCTCCAGGGGGGAAATTGATTTCGAATCGGCGATACATTGCAGATAGATGGGCGATAGGCCCCCGATAGCGAATCCACAAGTTCCTAGGCGTAGTGGGCTATCGGGCTTATCGGCGATGAATGGGCGATTGGGGGTCGATGCATCCTCTCCTGAGCCCACCTCCCTCTAACGTTGCCCCTGATATTTTCAGCCATCGTGCCACCATGAGGAACGCCGAATCAGAAACGATTATCTACTTGGCTGGCCACTGCGAGCCTCGGCCGCAAATATTTGGGCTCCACTTCCCAAATCCATGGAGCGTCCAGGAAACCAGAGCCCCCCCCCCCTAGGCCCAGAGTGGTCCCCGTTTCAGCGCGTGTTGACTGTGCATCTGCATGCTGCGGTGCGCGAGCGACCTTGCGGGGATCTGGACACCCATAGGAGGGCGCCAAGCATCCGCCTACACCGATCCAGGGTCCAAGATCGGCCTGGCCAGGATCGGTTTGGGTTGTGGGTGTATTAGCTAGTGCCCTCCAAGCCCAGACCCCAGGGCGCGAGGTGCCCGTCGAACTGCCCACGGGGCTTGCCGAAGTCAACCCGCACCTCAAAACGGGGGAAACAGGTACTGAGGGAAACGCGTCCTGGGTCCTAGGGTCTCCCCCGTCCGACCCGCTGTTTGTAGGATTACAACACGGCATGTTTGATAGATGTCCTAGCGATTGAAACGCTATAAATCATCTGTTTACTCATCATGCATGTGCGCCGTCTTCGTTCTTCTTCATCTCCCCCGCTTCTTCTTTTTCTCCCGAAGTCTTTCTGTAACGCCTTTGCACAAGGATTCCTTGTGTGGCAACCTTACAAAAATGATTACATGTGAAACTTCTGCAGTGGCCTCCACACTTAGAATCCTTTTGTAGCAGCATGTACAAGGGATTCCTTCTGTGGCGGCCTTACAAAAAGGTTTTACGTATGAGGAATCTGCCATGGGGGCACCTTGAGCCCAAGAAAGCTAGATAGGACAACAGGAACAACAGGAAAAAACAACAAACATGTTCTTTTTGGACCAGGAAAAACAAGACAAAGCTAGGAAAACATGCGACTGCCGCTGCTGTCTGTAATGCATAAGATCTACACTTAGAATCCTGTTGTAACGGCCTTTACAAAAATGATTCCTTTTGTGGCGACCTTACCACAGGACCTTAAGTGTGGAGGATATGCAATGGCACCCACACATAAAATCCTTGTGTCGCAACCTATACAAAGAAATTCCTTTTGTGGCGGCCTTACAACCGGGTTTTAATTGTCGGGGACCCATACACTTCCCTACAACGAAGAACTATTTGAAAAACCACACCATAAAATTCAATTTGCAAACCAAACAATCAAAATCAATTTGAAAATTCCACATTCAAACTTCATTCGTCAATCCCCACAAATGAAATCAAGTTGTAACACATTGATTTCGTTTGTAATGGATTTCCAGAGGCGGTGCCGTGGGGCCACGGAAGCTTACCAGGAAACTAAGAAAAACCGGAACAACAGGAAAACACGTGTTTTCATTACGAAAAAACAAAACAAACAGCAGCAAAAAAGCCAAGGCAAACCAATGAGTGTTAGTATGTTTATTTGTTGTACAACAACATCGACGTCAATCACAATTTGTTCCTTAGATTTTCAGTACTTCCCGTGTGAAATCAAATTGTTTCATGTGTTTCCTGTTTTTCCTGATTTCCTGTTAAGCTTCCGCGGGTCGACGGCACCGTTTTTGGAAATCCATTACAATCAACATCAAGTAATACATGGATTACACAATAGATTTCCTGTGAGGAGATTTGCACATTGAATTTGGTTGTGTGGATGTTAGGATTGATTTTTACTGTACGGTTTTCAAATTAAATGTTAGTGTAGTTTTAAACTGTTTTTTTAATTATAGTGCATCCTAGTGGCGGCGCCGTGGGCCCGCGGAAGCCTACCAGGCAAACAATAAAAACAAGAACAATAGAAAAAAACTGTTGTGTTCACATGGGAAAACAAGAAACAAGGAGGAACAACTGTAATTGTCAGCGCTGTTTATTGGTGCAACAAATGAAAACACTAACAGGCGTAGATGTTCCTCTGCTTTTTCTCAATGTTCCTGTTCCTCTATGTGAAAGAACCGGCTGTTTCATGTTTGTCATGTTTTTCCTGCTTTCCTGGTAAACTTCCGCGGCCCCACGGCACCGCCACAGGAAATCCATTACAATCATAATGAATGTGTAGGATTGCAAATTGATTTCATTTAGGGTTGAATGATTGTGTGGATTTTCGAATTGATTTTGCGTGCACGGTTTTCAAATTGAATATGATTGTATGGCTTTTCAATTTTCTTTAACTGTAAAGAATCGTAATGGCGGCGGTGGGCCCGCGGAAACTTACCTGGAAAACAAGGCAAAACAGGAACAACAGGAAAACGCATGTGTTTCCACATGGAAGGATGAAACAAAACTGAAGAATAACTATGCTTGTCAGCGTTTTTATGATGCAGATGATCTGCATTTCAAATCATTGTGTAGCGGCCTTTATATAAGGATTCGTTGTGTGGCGACCTTATAACAGGATTTAACTTATAGAAGGTATGCAGTGGTCTCCACACTTAGAATCCTGTTGTAGCAGCCTGTACAACACAGGAATTCCTTATGTGGCGGCCTTACAAACAATTTGAAAAGCCACGCAATCGAATTCAACTTGCAAGCCCGTACAATCAAAATCGATGTGAAAATGCCCACAATCAAATTGAATGTGTACATCCCCTAAATGAAACCGATGTGTAATTGATTTACACATCGATTTTGATTGTAACGAATTTCCAAAGGCGGCGCCGTGGGGCCGCGGAAGCTTACCAGGAAAACAGGAACAACAGGAAACACAGTTGAACAACAGCCTGTTTCTCGCATGGAAAAGAAACAAGAAAAGTATGACAAAGCTGAGGGTAAGCTTGTCCGTTCGTGTTTATATTTGTTGCGCCAATCACAGCGCTGACAAACACAGTTGTTCGCCAATTGTTCATATATTTTCCTCTTTGGAAACACACGGCTTTTTACTGTTTGTCCTGTTTTCCTGGTAAGCTTCCGCGGGCCCACGGCGCCGCCACTAGGATTTACTACACTTAAACACATCTTGAAAAGCCACATACTCAAAATTGGCGTGAAAACAATACAATCAAAATCATTTCGAGAATATACGCAATGAAATTCAAGGTGTAAACCTCATCAAGAGAAAATCATGTTGTAATACATTAACCGGTTGAT